GCAATTCCTGGCACTTTACTCTGGCCTGTGAAAGTGGCCACATGGGCTGTGCCCAGCGGTAGGGATGAGATGCCTGAGGTTTTGTGCCCTGATTGAAGTAAATAAAGTCAAGATAGATTATTTTGCAGCTTCAAGATTTAATATCTGTCCTGCTAGGCTTTAGGTGTGTGAGGGGCCTGTTGACTGTGCCTTTGCCCAATTTATTCCTTTTTTATTGACAATATTTACCCAATGCCTGTGGCAATATTGCACCTTGAAAGTAAATAACTCTTGAAAACATTTTGCCAGCTCACAGCTGGAGGAAATTGCCTTAAGATTCAGACGAGACTTTGGAATTTTCAGTTGGAGGTTGAGCAAGTTAAGGTTTTGAGAACTGTTTTTTAAAAAGATGATTTTGCAATCTAAGAAGGACTTGAGATGATAGGGCATAATGGTAAAATGATATAGTTTAGATGATTGTCCCCTCCAAATCTCATGGTGAAATGTAATCTACAATATTTGAGGTGGGGCCCACTAGGAGTTTTTGTGTCATGGGGAGACATCCTTCAGGGATGGCTTGGTATCTACGGTAATTAGTGAATTATTTCTATATTAACTACTGTGATATCTTCTTGTTCAACACCATCTGCCAACCCTCCACCACTCTTCTGGGCCTCCCTCACCATGTGACACACCCTGCTTCCCCTTTGCCTTCCACCAGGATTGTAAGCTTCCTGAGGCCCTCACAAGGAGCAGATGCTGGGGCCACGCTTCTCATAGAGCCTGCAGAACCATAAGCCAAATAAGCCTCTTAATTTTGTAAATAATTTAGTCTGAGGTATTGATTTAGAGCAATGCAAAATAGACTAATACACTACCCAAAGCAATAAGCATATGCAATGCATTTTATTGAGTAACAAATATAATTGCTTACCTGTTGTTTAAGAAATCCTAAAATATATATGGAATCAAAAAAAAAAAGCCTGAATAGCAAAAGGAATCCTAAGAAAAAGGAACAAGGCTGGAAGCACCACATTGCCTGACTTCAAATAAAACTACACAGATATACTCAGAAACACAGCATGGTACTAACCCTCTGCTCAATAACCGGTGCTGGGACAATTGGATAGCCACATGTAGAAGAATAAAACCAGACTTCCATCTCAGCACAGACAGATCTTAATTGACTGGGAATTCAATATTTAAATGTATAAGGAGAAACTGTAAAAGTACTTGTACAAAATGTAGGAGAAAATTCTCAGGACATTGGCCTAGGCAAATAAAATATGACTAAGACTTCAAAAGCAAATACAGGGGAAAACAAAAATAGACAAATGGGATTAAATTGAACTAAAGAGCTTCTGCACAGAATAAGAAATAATCAACATGGTGAGAAATCAACCTGCAGAATGATAGGAGATATCATCTCACCTCACTTTAAATGGCTGTTGTCAGAAATAAAAGACAAATCCTGACAAATGCTAGTAAGGATTCAGAGAAAAAAACTGTTAAGCATTGCTGTGGAGAATGTAAATTAGTACAGTCACTATGGAGAGCAGTGTGGAGGTAACTCAGAAACTAAATGAAACTACCTTATGATCCTGCAATTCCAGTTGTGCAAATTCACCCAAAGAAATAAAAATCATTATCATTATGTCAGAGATTTCTGCACACCAATGTATATGGCAGGATCTTTCACAATAGCCAAGATATGAAATCAACCCTGGTGCTGAACAAGAGATGAATGGTTCAGGATAATGCGGTGCAAATACATGATAAATACTAGTCACCCATAAGAAATGAAATCCTGTTATTTGTGGCAATGAGGGTGGAAATGGAAGACACTATGTTAAATGAAGTAAGCCCGGAGCAGAAAGTAATAGACCTTGTTTTTTCACTCATATGTGGAAGCAAAAAACAAAGAAAAAAAAAATAAAAGATATCTCCAAGAAGCCAAGCGTGTTGGCTCTCACCTGTAATCCAAGGACTTTGGGAGGCCAAGGCAGGTGGATCAAGAGGTCAAGAGATCGAGACCATCCTGGTCAACATGGTGAAACTCGGTTTCTACTAAAAATACAAAAAGGCATGGTCATGCGTGCCTGTAATCCCAGCTACTCAGGAGGCTGAGGCAGGAGAATTGCCGGAACCCAGGAGGCGGAGGTTGCGGTGAGCCGAGATCACGCCATTGCACTTCAGCCTTGGTAACAAGAGCGAAACTCCGTCCCCAAAAAAACAAAAAAGATCTCCTAGAAGTAAAGAGTAGATTCTAGAGGATGGGAAAAGTAGTGGAAAGGGGGAGATAGGCAGAGATTTGTTATAAAATGCAACATTAGAGTTAGATGGAAGGAATAGATTATAGTGTCATTTACTACTGTGGGATGAATATAGTTAACAATAATATGGAGTTTCAAAGAGTTAAAAGAAGTATGTTACTATTCTCAATAAAAAGAAAAGGATTGTGATGATGGATATGCTAATTATACTAATCTGGCTCCTATACATTATATGTATCAAGACATCACTGTGTGACTCATGAACATTTACAATTATTATTTGTCTATTATAATTATATTTAAAATAACACAAAATTCATTGGAAGTGACATTAATTGAGGCTCTGGGACAGGTGTGGAGATAAAGGCAGCCTCTGGAATACATGCCTAGCATGTCAATGGGAAAAGGAGCTTCCATTAGCATTTTCTATTTGAGCACTGAGTAGATCCGACATTTCTCAAAGCTTCCCTCTACAATAGAGAACTGAGGTCCAGGGAGGTCTGTAGACAGTAAGGTATGCAGAGGGAAGCAGCAGGAATAGACTGGGTTGCTGGCCGGTTCAACAATAGTAGGAATGATCATTATGGCATGTAGAGAAGTCAACGTTGTTTTAAAAAAACTGCATCACTAAATCACATGAAAAATTTTTTCCAACAGAAATTCTTAAATATTATTGGAAGCGAAACTGTTTTTGGTGAAGAAACGTTCCTGAAGTTAAGTGAGCCAGTAAAGTTGTTAAGAACTACAATAAACACCTGGATTGGATTCAGTTTTATCTGAATTCAATGTGATTATTACTGGTTCAGGTGGGGGTCAGACATCAAGATAGACAGGTGGTAGCAACCAGAAAAAGCCATGCACCCAGAAAGATTCACAGCCACTTTTTTTTCAGATTTATAAATAAGAGTTGCACCAATACTACTGAAACTATTTCCAAAAACTGAGGAGGAAGGACCGCTCCCTGAATTATTCTATGGGAAGAGTATGGATAACAATCCCTGACAGAGACTCGATTAAAAAAAAAAGAAAAGTAACTTTAAGCCAGTATTCCTAATGCAAAACTGCTCAAGGAAATACTGACAAACTGACACAAACAGCACATCGAAAAGCTAATCCACCATGATCAAGTAGGCTTTGCTCCTGGGATGCAAGGTTGGTTCAACATATGCAAATCAGTAAATGTTATTCATCATGTAAGCAAAACTAAATACAAAAACCATGTTATTTATCGAGACAGATTCAAAAAATACTACCAGCCTATTAGGATGAGTAAAACACGCAGTATAGAAAATACCAAATGG